AATTTGATATTACATGGCGGCTATAACACGAGAAAAATTAAAGTGTTATTACGTGAGGGGTAACATGAGAAAAATTAGAGTGTTTCGAAATAGGTACTGTTTCGATATACCACTACTTTCATCGTTTCCTTACTCGGTTAGATCGTACCCCGAGAGCTTCCTAACATCCCAGCCGTGTTCTATAGGCGGTAGTATCACAGTGAATATACCGTCGCTTACCCCTAGTCCTCATGAGTCGACGGCTTCTTTATCTTTCTCTTTTTCTTTTTTCGCTAACTTCTTCCGAAATATGCAAGGTAATTGTGTGTATGCGTGCACGTATTGTGTGCATGGCGTGTACGTGTGTGCTCGCACCCGCGCATGCATGAGCAATGAAAGAAAAAGCATTTTCGTTAAAAAAAAAATGGTACATATAATATACAAATGTTCTGACCCTGATAGATTACAAAATATACAAATAATTGTTCTTAGAAGAAATGAAATTGTGAAGAATCTACTGTCATTTTATTCAAATTTCTTTGAAGACTTGCAGATAAAAGAGCAGATTCTTAAATTCATAAATTCTATCTGAACAGTAGTGACGAGACTAAAAATGTCTGAAAGGCATGAAAGAAGGATGCCAAGTTTATGTATCTTTCAGAGTCGCCGAAGAATTGCTATAAATATAGCCATGCGATGTAATTATTGCGAAATTATTACATGTCCCAATTATATTGACAGTGTCCCAATTTGTGATAATCTCACTCGTCTTTCTTATAGCGAATTCGATTGGACACACCAGTGCGCACTCAGTGCACATTAAAGCCGTCGTACACAAATCAACGTATATATAAATTGTATATTTAATATAAACGAGTTAAGTCACGAAGTGCTTAATATTCTTTATTGTACTATTTGGTAAAATTGTATTGGGCATTTTATCAGTCGAAATATTTGCATTTTACTTTAAATATTAGAGATTAAATCAGTGTACAATGGCTTTAATGTTCACTGAGTGCGCACTGGTGCGTCCAACCTGCAAAATCGTTATTAATAAATCAGCTAATAAGTACGGATCCAATATTTATTTTAAACATGTATTCAACATGTAAACAAAATCAATTTTGTATAATTTGTTTAACATGTATATTATTAATTTATTAATTTGCCTCGGTCAGTAACTTGGACATTTGCGAGATTCTAAGGAGGTCTATTGAAAGCCCAGCACGTTTGAAAATGATCAAAGAAGAGGTTCTTTTGTATGGTCATGACATCGTTTTTCGTGAACTACTTAACTTACGACCCGAAGTAACCGATAAGATGATTCTGGAAGCCTGCCGACTACTGAAAATATCGCCACTAGAAATAAAAAATGCGTCCGATCAGTTGGAATATATAAAGCTGATCCTGAGAAGATCAACACCACAAGTCGATAATCAGTTGGAGTGTATAAAGGTGATCCTGGGACAGGGAAATAGGGAAATCATGGATGTTCGTTCCGTTGATGGTGATTATATACATATATCGACAAGTATAATAGCACAAACAATAAAAGAAATAGCATTCCTTAAAAAACATAAATTTCTTACAAATATCTGAATTATGATTTCGCCTTTTATGCGCTTTAGCACGTTTGAATATGATGAAAAAAGAGGTTCTTTTGTATGATCATGATATCACTTTTCGTGAACTACTTAACTCACGACCCGAAGTAACCGGTACGATGATTCTGGACGTCTGCCGACTACTGGAAATATCGCCACTAGAAATCGACAATCAATTGGAGTATATAAAGCTGATCTTGGGACAACGATTTAGGGAAACCATAGATGTTCGTTCCGTTGATGGTGATTAGATTATATATTGTACATATATCGACAAGTATAATAGTACAAACAATAAAAGAAATAGCGTTTCTAAGAAAACATAAATTTCTTACAAATATTTGAATTAAGATTTCGTTTTTTAGGCGCTTTAGCACATTTGAATATGATTAAAAAAGAAACTGGTAACATGATTCTGGGAGCCATCCGAGGACTGAAAATGTCGCCACTAGAAATCGACAATCTGTTGGAGTATATAAAGCTGATCCTGGGACAGGGATTTAGGGAAACCATGGATGTTTGTTCCGTTGATGGTGATTATATACGTATATCGACAAGTATAATAATACAAACAATAAAAGAAATAGCATTTCTAAGAAAACATAAATTTCTTACAAATGTCTGAATTATGATTTCGTCTTTTAGGCGCTTTAGCACATTTAAATACGATTAAAAAACAAATCCTTTATCTTCATGATATCATTTTTGATGAACTATTTAACCCACGGCCCGAAGTAACCATAGTAAATCGAAGTAAGATGATTTTGGAAGTCTGTCGACTGCTGGGACTGTCGCCACTAGAAATCGACAATAAGTTGGAGTATATAAAGCTGTTTCTGGGACAAAGATTTAGGAAAACCATGGGTGTTCGTTCCGTTGATGGTGATTATATACGTATATAGAAAAGTATAATAGTATTACAAACAATAAAAGAAATAGCATTTTTAAGAAAACAAATTTCTTACAAATATCTGAATTATGATTTCGTCTTTTAGGCGCTTTAGCAGATTTGAATATGATTAAAAAAGAGGTCCTTTTGTATGGTCATGATATCATTTTTCGTGAACTACTTAACCCACGGCCCGAAGTAACCGGTAAGATGATTCTGGAAGTTTGCCGACTACTGGAAATATCGCCACTAAAAATCGACAATATGTTGGAGAATATAAAGTTGTTCCTGAGACAAAGATTTAGGAAAACCATGGGTGCTCGTTCCGTTGATGGTGATTATATACATATATCGACAAGTATAATAGTACAAATAATAAAAGAAATAGCATTTCTAAGAAAACAAATTTCTTACAAATATCTGAATTATGATTTCGTCTTTTAGGCCTTTTAGCACATTGGAATATGATTAAAAAAAAGGTCCTTTTGTATGGTCATGATATCATTTTTCGTGAACTACTTAACCCACCACCCGAAGTAGCCGTAGTAACCCGAAGGAAGATGATTCTGGACGTCTGCCGACTACTGGAAATATCGCCACTAGAAATCGATAATCAGTTGGAGTATATAAAGCTGATCTTAGGACAGGGATTTATGGAAACCATAGATGTTCGTTCCGTTGATGGTGATTATATACATATATCGACAAGTATAATATTACAAACAATAAAAGAAATAGCATTTCTAAGAAAACAAATTTCTTACAAATATCTGAATTATGATTTCGTTTGTTAGGCGCTTTAGCAGATTTGAATATGATAAAAAACCAGGCCCTTTTGTATGGTCATGATATTATTTTTCGTGAACTACTTAACTCACGGTTCAAAGTAACCGGTAAGATGATTCTGGAAGTCTGCCGACTACTGGAAATATCGCCACTGGAAATTGACAATCAGTTGGAGTATATAAAGCTGATCCTGGGACAGGGATTTAGGGAAACCATGGATGTTCGTTCCGTTGATGGTGATTATATACATCTATCGACAAGTATAATAATACAAACAATAAAAGAAATAGCATTTCTAAGAAAACATAAATTTCTTACAAATATCTGAATTATGATTTCGTCTTTTAGACGCTTTAGCAGATTTGAATATGATTAAAAAAGAGGTCCTTTTGTATGGTCATGATATCATTTTTCGTGAACTACTTAACCCACGGCCCGAAGTAACCGGTAAGATGATTCTGGAAGTTTGCCGACTACTGGAAATATCGCCACTAGAAATTGACAATCAGTTGGAGTATATAAAGCTGATCCTGGGACAGGGATTTAGGGAAACCGTGGATGTTCGTTCCGTTGATGGTGATTATATCATACACATATATCGACAAGTATAACAGTACAAACAATAAAAAAAAATAGCATTTCTTAGAAAACATAAATTTCTTACAAATATTTGAATTATGATTTCGTCTTTTAGGCGCTTTTTGAAAAATTTGTATAGCTATTCTGTATCAAAATTTTTTATTTTACAGATATAGGCAATACGGCGTTGCATTACGCTCTCGAGAAAAATTGGTACGAAGCTGCAACTCTACTTCTCAAGGAAGGCAGTTACCTTGGTCAGGTGAACATATTCAACAACATCGCTATCGCGGATATTCCAGATTTCATATTGTCCAGCTATTTTAATGACTGCATTCAATTAAAGAAAGAATGGACGGACGAGTGTACGATCGAGTTCGACTATCGTTGCTTGATGCCGCACGAAAATTTCGCTGAACAGCAAGAAATTTCGCGAGCGACCTGTGAAATGGAAGTAATTTTGTATATCGCCAATAACGACACTCTCAAACATTTGTTGAGACATCCGTTAATCTCGTCCTTTCTCTGCATTAAATGGTACATGATACGGCACGTTTTGTACGCAAATTTCGTTTTTTACACAATGTTCTATTTCTTCGTGAACGCCTACATACTAAGCATGACTTACGACACATCAAGTAAAAATAAACAGCAAATTGCTAACGATAGTTTCAATACAGTCTTTGCAAGTACTTTCCTTACATTACAAAACAATCTATCGTGGGTTTTTGTCATGGGGATGTTGCTGCTCTTTACCTATCGAGAGATCTTGCAATTTCGCTCCTATCCCCAACGCTACTTGGTAGATTTGGAAAACTGGTCACAAATTCTGCTAATTGTACTGACTTTTGCACTGTTGTGCGGCGCAGGACTGCAAATCAGGGTCATGGTTATCCTACTGTCCACCTGGGAGTTAATGACTCTGATAAGCCAGCATCTGTTTCCGTCTTGTATCGAAATGTTTCGAACTGTCTTCTTCAATTTCGTTCGCTTTTCCTTCCCGTATCTAATTCTGATTTTTGCATTCACTCTAGCTTTCTACATGCTCTTGAGGAATGACGGTTTCTCTAATTCTGATCTTTCGCTTTTCAAAACCATCATTATGTTCACCGGCGAGTTTGACGCCAAAGACATTTCTTTTTCTGCGTATCCTGTTTGGAGCCGCATTGTACTCGTGCTGTTCATCTTTCACATAGTCATCGTGCTGTTTAATTTACTTAATGGTTTGGCAATCAACAACATTGCCGAGATTCTGAATAAGGCCGAGATTATCGGATTAATCTCCCAGGTACGCCTGATCGCTTGTTTCGAAAGAATGACAGTCGGGAAACCGTTCTGCTGGAATTCTAAATGGACGTGGTCGAATCCTTTTAATTTCTTTTTCAACAAGATTCTTCTCTTTCCACATTACCTCAAATGCGGTAAGATAAGTTTCAAACCTTACGATGATAATCTGATTGTTTATGATGGCCATAGGCATAACGTTGGCTATTCCATGGATTGGTCCACTTTGAAAATGGATCCTAACATAGTCAAACATGCTAAGCAGGTTGTCTACGATAAGAATGAACTGTCAAATAATGATATAATGAATGAACTTGCTAAGTTGCAAACAAGATTGACACAGATAAAAAATACTTTGAGATGTGAAGATTAAGAATGCTGAACATGATGCTGAAGAAGACATTTTTAAAAATTAAATTTGAGAGGCTTTCTTAAGTAAGTCTTAAGTAATAAAATGCATGTAAAATGAGGAGATTATATAAAGGATGTAATAGTATTTTTTTAATCAATATGTAGAAATTAAGAGATAGAAAAAAATAATAGATAGAAGAAAGAGTTTTAAATTTAGAGAAGATCACAGAAACGGTGATCTTGATTGACACAAATAAGCGTCACTTTGAAACATTGAAGATTTAAGAATTAGGAGAATTATCTAAATCTTAATGTGTGACATAACAAGATTTTTTTTTACAAAACTTACAATTTTAAGAAATAAATGACTTAAATGGTTTATTTAATGATAAGACTATCTTCGCAATAAAAAGCTTTAGAATTTTTTCCGGGAATGACTTCGAATTATTATAATTTAGATCAATAGTACACGAAGTAAGCAATAATATAATTTTTTTTTTATTTTTTAGTTAAATCACTTTTATAATATAATTATTAGTATATATTATATATATATTATCAGTTGCGGAATAGATTTTAGAGAGACTAGACAGATGGTACCGCGAGTGGTGGCTAGGGCTACTGTCTTCTCGTCAGGTGATATCGCCACACGTGTGACCACACCCTCCTGGTAAAAGACAAACGTTAATAAACGTTAATAAATATGCCAATCGCACAGCGTAGAGTCATAATATGTCATTTGTTCAATCAACATTTGACTAAAACCTACATTTCTGATTATATATTGAAAAAATTATGAATAAAAACTTAACGTAATTGCAACTGAAGGATTATTTACCGATAGGGGTATTATTTGAAGAAATGAACATGATTCTCTGAAGAACAAGTAGACGCTGCCACTGGTGGAGCCTAGCACAATGTAACTTGGCGATGCATGCTATGGAAACATGTGTACTGTAATTACATAATTTATATTATATACCTTAAAAATTGCACTATAAAGTCAATCAAAAACTTGAAAGAAAAAAAACAGATTTTGGAAATTGTATTTTATCTATCTCATGTATCGTATCTATATAATTATACATAGATCCGACAAAAAAAGGCGAACGTTCGCTGCTACGGTTAAAAGTAAAAAAATTACGTAACAGTGCTATGAATAAATAAGTAATAATATATCTTGTGTAGATATGCAACGTATTGTATGCAACGCAAGCTATAAATGTATCCATTTCTGTCCTGCCTAGAGATGAAAATCTTGAAACTTGCTCGACATTATGAAATCGGAAATAATCCGGATTATTTTTATTGTTCTTCAGAGGCTGGGTCAACGCGGGGCAAGTCGCGGGACATTTTTGACAGTGTGTTGACAGGTATGTACATTGTGTACGCCCGCCGTATCGTTTGAGTTGACCGCACCGTCGCGTCGCGCCGCGCCGCCTCAGCGCGGAGAAACGCGTGCAAAGCCTTGCTAGGCGATTATGTCAACCGTACCTTTATCCGCTGCGTCGAATTGATTGGTTTGTACAGGATCGAGTTGATTTCCTCACGTTCCGACGAGATGTAAGGAAAATCTAGAAAATTCGGTGCGGCGGGATACATCGTCCAGCATCTTCTTTGTGACTGTCGAGTGACGCGACGCGCGCCTCGTACACAACACAATGGGCTGCGTTTCTTTTGACGCTCACAGTGTTGTAAGCCGTAAGCGTCTTAAACGTCCTTCTGTCTTCGTTGCATCAAATATCAAACAAAAATGGAGCGATGCCTTTCAACAATGAAAGCGTCAAAAGAAACGCAGTCACAACTGACACAAATACTGAATTATGTCCGTCCGGAATCCAGATTGTGTTCGTGTTGGATCGT